AAATGGGCAGGCCCGGCGACATTTTGGCGGCCAACCCTGCCTGATGATTCAAAATCAAGAAGTTAAAAAAAACATGTTACTAAAGGTGTTTATGATTGTCATGGGTTTAAAAAAAGAACACAGTTTGAGCCTTTTAAGTAGATGTTGTGAAGTCCACAGATGTTGTGAAGTCCCTAATTCCTGTTTGCGAACGTTTTCAAGGGTTGGTAGTTATTCCTCACGTTATACAGAGGCAAAGTTGCTTTCACATGGGGACAATTCTCATCTTGACTGTGAATGTGGAGGCTAAGACCTACAGGAGATCAGGAGATCAAAGGTTTTGTCTCAGTTTACCTAAAAGCTATCCAAACTATTGATTGCCTATCCATTGCATAAATTAAATAAAGATGTATTTCTGACCATCTAATTTTTATCCAGCCTTACCACTCCCTGAGAAGACAAGACTCACTGGAGAAGACAATGATGCCGGGAAAAGCTGGAGGCAGCAGGAAAAGAAGAAGACCCAACATGAGATGGATTGACTCAGTCAAGGAAGCCACCAGCCCTCAGTCTGCAAGACCTGAGCAAGACTGTTACGGACAGGATGTTTTGGAGGTCATTAATTTGTAGGGTCACCATAGGTCAGAAGCGACTTGAAGACACTTAACACACACACACATCCCTCCACCTGAAGGGGATCAGAGTAGTTTATAGGGCTCTCCTATATTTTATCCTCAGCTTTATAGGGGAGGGATTTTAATTCAGATGTCCCCAATCCTTGTGCAACACTCTAACCACTACATCATGCCAAATTCTTTTTATCACTGAACCCATTTCTCCAGGTTCCAATTACAAAAAGGAGACAGAAATACAAATTGTTCCGTCCGATCATTCATAACTCAGCAACGTCCCCACCAGATTGTTCTTTTCCCTACTTCAAAGCCTCAGACTCTGCATCCCTTTTTTTAACGTAAGGGAGACCAAGCCCTTGAGCATCTCTGTTGCCTTTCTGTACCCTTTTCTGTTCACCGTTTTTGGTAGATGGCACAGCCAGAACTGCAGCCAATGTTTGTTATATGATCAAGTCATACATTTATATAATGGCCTTTTGCAATCTGATCTTCATGACCAGGAGAGGCAAAAAAGAGAGGCGGAAATGAAATAAGCTAAAGTTTTTGCCCTTTCTATTTTTCCTGTGCAAATCCATAACACAATGGCTGCCTTCAGCATGGTGGGCTGGCATAATGTTTAATCAGTGATATGACAGGGTATCAAATTCCATCAGATCCTAAGGGCCAGTTTGGTGTAGTGGTTAACTGTGTGGACTCTAATCTGGGAGAACCAGATTTGATTCCCCACTCCTCCATTTGCACCTGCTGCATGACCTTGGGCAAGCCATAGTTATATCAGAGGTGTTCTTGAAAAAGAGCAGTTTCTGTCAGAACTCTCTCAGCCCCACCTACCTCACAAGGTGTCTGTTGTGGGGAGGGGAAGGGAGAGGAGTTTGTAAGCTGCTCTGAGACACCTTTGGGTAGTGAAGGGTGGGGTATAAATCCAATATCATCATCTTCTTCTTCTAAAGGGATTATTTTGGGTTGTCTGAAAGATCTGGTAGAGAATTTGGATGCAGAGTTGGTTGTAAACTTGTTAACTGCAGCTATAATGTGCCTAGCAGCACAAGATATGGGAAAACCAATCGATCTTTAAGAACATAAGAAGAGCACTGCTAGATCAGACCAGTTGTCCATCTAGTCCAGCATACTGTATCGAACAGTGGCCAGCCAGTCCCTTTGGATGGCCAACAACAGAGCATAGAGGCTGAGAAGGTCCTCTAATGTTGCCTCTTGGCTCTGGAATTCAGAAGATTAGTGCTTCTGAACATGGAGAGTCCCCTCAGTCACCATAGATAGTAGCCATTGATAGGCTTATCCTTCATGAATCTATCTAATCCATTTTACAAGCTGTTTGTTCCTGTGGTCATCACTACATCCTCTGGCAGAAAACTCCAGATTTAATTACTCTCTGTGTAAAGCAGTAGTTCCTTTTGTCTATCCTGAACCTACTGCCCATCAGTTTCATTGGATGCCCTCAAGTTCTAGTATTTTGAGGGAGGAAAATTTCTCTTTATCAGCTCTCTCCATCCCATGCATAATTTTATAAACCTCTATCCTGTTCCTCCTTAGTTGTCTCTTTTCTAAACTGAAAACTCCCAGACTCTTCAACCTTTCCTCATCATACACAAAGAGAAATCCTTTTGATGAAACCATTTCATTACAGCAGATGCTGAAAGAGTACTGGTTTGTATGTAGACAACCTGGTTCAAAAACTGACCATGTACTGGGAAAATAATGTACTGGGAAAATAAATTCCAAGATGATATATGTATTTTTGAGTTACTCTAACATCAGTGTCTCAAAGTATTCATGGTTTTTGTATGTATTTGTAAAGTTTGTGGTTTTTATGCTTTTGTGCATTTATTATAATTATTGTAATTATATATTATATGTATGTTATAATATTATTTATTTTAGACATATGTTGTGGTGCAACATATTTTTAGAATTGCAATGAACCATATTTCCTAGACGCTTGCCCCAAGATCCCTTACAGTATCGCAGAGGATGCTAGAATGTAGCTTATGGATCTTGTATACTTGCAGGTCAGAAAGCTGCGATTACCATTCTGTGTGACAATCTTATTTATTATTTTCATTTATAGTCTGCCTGTCTCACTGGAACCCAAGGTGGTTTACAAGTATGATTTTAAAAAGCCTTTTCAGTCAATCAGCAAGTGGATTACAAGATACAGTAACACTGGAATACAGTGGCAAAGTTTCTTCATATGCAACTGACAGGGCAATTTTCAGATTGTGCTACACAGCTGTTTGCAACATCCAACTGCTTACAGTAGACCCTGTTCAGGGCACGAAGCTGCTGTAAGTCAGACTCATTTGCACTATTTTTTAAAAAAAACAAATATGCACAATCACCTGCAAGTAGCAAGCAATTTCCCCACTTTGTCTGTTTTCTATATTTTTTCTTAGTTAGTGAGGTTTTGATGCAAGACCAAAGTTCATTAAGAACCAGACTGATGAAAAATTACTATATATGTTGACAATATTTTACCATTCATGCCAATGCCATTTTAAAAGAGACCCTTTCTTTTTATTAACTCTTCCCAGCCTTACACACAATATATTTTTTCAGGGGTCCCCTCAATCTTTTTGCCCCTGCAGCAGTGCCGAGACCAGAATTTAGAGGGCCCTCTTGCAAGGCACCTTTGTTTTAGGCAATTTTCATTGCACGGCTCATCATATATATTATACTGTTTCTATTCCACTGTTCTCTAATTTTGCAGTGTCATTTCAACACATTGTCTGTTGTGCGTATTATACTGACTGTATGCATTTTAAACATATGGCAATTGAAATAAATAAACTGGCTTTCATTAACCTGAAAGTCTTGGTAGGATGTAAAAACAGACAATCGCTTTCTTGCTGCCTCCGAAATGCTTGGGTAGCATGCACCAACTGAATATAGTAGTTCTGCTGGCACTCTGGATTTTTTAATGTTTTGGGGGCTTTTGTAAATGCCTGGCCTTGACTTGAGCTCCCCCCCCCCTTAAAAAAATTCCTTAAGGAAAAGTCAGCCACAAAGACAGAAATTAATGTGACAACATCAGCAATATCTTCAGAACAGAAATGGGACAACCACAGTACAGCTCAACATTGATGTGAAATTTACATCCCAAGTCATTACAGATGCAAGAATCTGATCCTCCTTTTATTTGTTCAGTCCCCAACTGATTTTTAGTCTATGGCTGTTAGTTAATTATTATTTATAACCTTTGCTAAATCAATTACATGCTGGTAAAAAAAAAAGAACAAAGTTGGAGTTCAGTGGCACCTTTAACACCAACAAAGTTTTATTCTAGGTATAAGGTTTCATGTGCACGCACACTTCTTCTGGTAAAAAGTAACAGAAGCACAAAGTTCTCTACATGCTTTTTTCTCTCTCTTTAAAAATGACTGTGTACTCTGGACTGTTATTTATTTTCGTGTATGATCTAACTAAAGAAGACAGTAAATAGATTTTACAAACAGAAAATTATTCCAGAGACAGAGCTGTTGATCTATCCCAACATAAACACCACAGAGTCTTGAAGTACCTTAAGTGATTTTTAGTGTTGTTTTAATAAAGGTCGGTGACGTATGATCTAAATGCCTGTACGCATGTGGCACTTAATCTTAGCATATTTGATATTATCAAGAATTTTTTTTGCCCACAGTTCCGGAAGCTGGCTTCCTGCCTCATCACAGATGCTTACTGTATTTTTAAATCTAAGGTAACAATTATTATTAATTGTTTTACAAAATGGTGGCCAAAGACCCTAAACCAGATGAACTCTTACAGCAGAATCATATACAGAGTTACTCCAGCTTGGACTAATTTTGCAAGGGGATTGCCCTGCCAGTTTGTTTCATTATAAGGCCATCTCTTGAGTCCCATATTCTTCATAATCTAGATTCTTCTCAATGGATTACATGTGGGGCTGAGCTGCCAGAGCCTGGAGGGTAGATGGTCTTGATTTTGAAGAGTGGGGTGGACTAGATTACTTCTGGGTACCCCACACTGCGAACAGGAAGATTCTGGCCGTTTTCACCCACGACATCCCCCCAAAACGCTTTTCAGCCCCTTTCACCCTCTTTGCATGTACGTCTGAACGCGTCGAAACGCGGAGTGGAAGACAGGACTCGAACGCCCGCCTCGCCTAGCTACAAGGAGGCTGTTCAGATTGTGCCCATCATTGCCGGAACGAATCTCTGCTCCCCGAGAGCGGCGCACGTACGGGAGGAGGAAATGCAGCCACCCCCCGCCCGGTGAGCCGAGGGGAGCACAGTCAGCCACACACCGCGAAGGTCCCGCCGCAGCGGGAAGGGTCCTCGCACTCTCGTCTCCCCCTTGGAAGCCGCTTCCCGCACCCACCCCCCGGGAACAGGTGAAAGACCCCGAGTCGCTCACCGGCACCGGCGGAAACGAGAAATCAAAAGCAGCAGCAGGAGGAGAAGCGCCAGCAAGCCGGTGGCGGCCAGTCCGTCCATGGCGTCGAGTCTCACCAGCGCAGACCCCGGTCCGGCACCCAGCTGGCGCCTTATGAGCCGCCTGATCTCCGCCTCTTGGCCGCCGCAGCTCCCGGCCCTTCCAAGCCCTCGATCAAGGGACTCCCCCCCCCTGCCACACCGACCCGGCTGCTGGGAGGGGCTCTCGCGGTGCCCTGGTGGGAGACCTGGTGGGAGGGTCAGGCGCAGCCCCCATCCAGGAACTCAATTCGCCTCGGAAGTTCTCCCCGCCCCTGCCAAGGTGTGGCCCCGAAATAAATTACATAAACCATCTTCGACTTGATTGGAGTCTAGCAGCACCTTAGAGAGCAAAGATTGGGGTCGAGGGGGAAGCTTTCCAGAGGCAAAAAGGGCTCCCTCCCTGACTCAAAAACTGATCAGCTGGAAATATGGTTGGTCTCCAGGGGCTGGAAAGTGCCTTAGAGTCACAGCTGACCTCTGGCGACCCCCCACAGGGTTTTCCAGGCAAGAGACCTTCAGAGGTGGTTTGCCATTGCCTTCCTCTGTGTCAGGACCCTGGTGTTTCTTGGTGGTCTGTCTCCCATCAAAATACTGACCTGCTTAGCTTCTGAGATCTGACCAGATCGGGCTACTTGGGCGATCCAGGCTCTATGGTGCTACTGGTGGTTCTATTCCAGTGGTTCTATCGTGGACCAAAAGGGCTACCCTCTGAACTAGCATCATCATCTTTAATCTGAAATCATAAGGACCGAGTGGACCTCTGTGCATGTGCAGAGTAGATTCCCCCGCCTTTCTGTGTATCCGCTGGCACCCTACAAGCCTTGGTCATGGGAAAGCCAAAGGATATGATTCTAGGGAGGTTCCATAGACAAACTACATTGAAGGGGCTTACATCCTCCTCCTCTCTGACGTTCCATCCTCACAACAACCCTGTGAGGCAGGTTACACTGAGCATGACTGGCCCGAGGTCTAGAGCTGCCAGCCTCTAAGAGGGGCCTGGAGATCTCCCAGGATTAGAACTCATCTCCAGACAACAGTGATCAGTTCCCCTGGAGAAAATGGCAGGTGGACTCGATGGCATTGTACCCTGATGAGGTCCCTCCCCTTCCAAAACTCCTCCCTCCCCAGGTTCCACTCCCAGAATCTCCAGGCTTTTCCCAGCCCAGAGTTGGCAACCCTATCTAGGTCACTCAGCAACCTTCCATAGCAGAGTGTGGATTTGAACCTGATTCTCACCGATCCTAGCCTAGCATTGTGACCACTACACAAACTGACTCTGTGCATTTCCTGTGCCTCACAGGGGGGGAAAAAAACAGGGCATCTTTCAATGATGGCAGGAATTCATTAAGTACAAGGCAATCAAACATGCATCTAGCTGGTTGCTAGATGCTAGAATCATATCCTTTGGCTTTCCCATGATCAAGGCTTGTCATCAGCGTAACAGCCTGATTCTATACCATGTCTACTCCAAAGCAGTTTGCGCTATTCCAGTGGGATTTGCTCAGAAGTAAGTGTATACAAGTTTGCAGTTTCCTTTGTTTTTCAGTGGCCAGATTGCAAAGGAATTCTTTATCCAGCTGTTGTTTCCTCTTCAACAAAGAGTTTTAAGCAGTTTGCAAACAGATTTTTCGTGTTGGCGTCTGCCAGTTCTTAATTGCTGCACTTGGTCCAAGTGCTTTCAGACACATTTTGTGGGTTTTAAAGTTGTCAGGCTCTGGCTTAGGGTTGCCAGCTGCCCTGGAGGAAAATAGCTTGTTAATTAACAGATGTCAGGATGGACTTGAATGCCAGGAAAAACTTCAGCTGCCCACTTCCACATGGTAAGCCTCTGTTGAAGGGACAGGGCATATCCCTCAAGCCAGCTTGGAATGCTGCCTTAGCACCATATCTTCAATAAACAGCTTTTCTCCATAAACACTATGTTTTCATATGACAGCCCTGCCCATAATCTAGAAACAAACACCAGATTCACAGTGCAATCCTATGGAAAATAACTCCCCTGCAATAACGGTTTAGGACCACAATCTAAAACTTCTGTCTCCATTGGGTACGATGTCCCTCTGTTTTGCAGCGGAGAAGTCACACTGACAATGCCTTCTTCAGCAGTGGTTTGCCTGTGCGCACCCAGGTTTTCTGGACAACCCTAAGCTATTGGACCCTTGATGCTTAAAAAAAAGTCGTGAAGGGCAAGCTGAAGTGAAAGGCCACTCCACGGTGGTTGGAGCAAGCATGTTCAAATCAGCCATAATAAAAGGTTAGGGGGGGGGATGTGAGCCTTGTATTCCATTGAGTGCATCACCTTACATACCACTCATCTAGCTGGCTTAGAGAGCCTGCTTTAAGGATGGTTACCATATGGTTACCATAGAGTTTCCCCCCAAATGCTAGAATGTCCCTGCACTACGTGCCCTGCACAATGATGTCACTTCCACCTCCCAAAGAGTGATTAACACCTGGAATTCACTGCCACAGGAGGTGGCAGTGGCTACAAAGCATGGACAGGTTCAAGAGGGAATTAGATAAGCATATGGAGCAGAAGTCCATCGGTGGCTATTAGCCACAAGGTATAGATAGGGACTCTCAGTTTGGAGCAAGTGATGCTCTGTATTCTTGGTGCTAGGGGGGGCAACAGTGGTAGGGCTTCTAGTGACCTGGCCCCACTGTTGGACCTCCTGATGACACCTGGTATTTTTGGCCACTGTGTGACAGAGTGTTGGACGCGATGGGCCACTGGCCTGATCCAACATGGGCTTCTCTTATGTTCTTATGTTCTTAAGGATGTGGTTGAGAGCAAGTGTGCTTTGCATGCGGAAGGTCCAAGCCCCATGACCTTCGACTGAAGGACCAAGTACCAGCTGATGAGAAAGAGCTCTGCCTACTCTCCTGGAGAGCTTCTGCCAATCACAGCAGAAAAGACTGATATGCACAGACCTGTAGTTTCAGTCAGTTCAGTCGTATCAAACCATCTGCTGTGAAAACAGCACAGAAGAGGAAATGGTTATCTCCCTCCTGTGTGACCACAGTCCCCATCCAATCCTGCCTCTGATTTTAAAACAGAGAGGAACGTTTCAACTCTTTGTCCGGTTGTCCCTGAAAGTGCACTCCACTTACCAGTCTTGTACAGCTGAGAATTTAGATGACGATCAATACAGCTGGGAACAATTGCTTTCAGTGAAGCTTGTCCGCTAGTTGTAATTGAGGAACTTCCAATTAGCTTTTGAGGTTTCCTCGTGAAAACCACTTCCTTAATGCCCAACGGTTGCGCACGCGGTCATGGCGGAGTACATTACAAATTGCTTTCAGTGAAGCTTGTCCGCTAGTTGTAATTGAGGAACTTCCAATTAGCTTTTGAGGTTTCCTCGTGAAAACCACTTCCTTAATGTATGTCCTGCTTTTACAGCCTTCTTCGACTCCTTCCTTGTCACCAGTGTGGATAGACACTCCCAGGACCTCTGCAGCATCTATAAAAATTTCATGCATTAGGTGTAATGCTTCCCATATCTTTATCCTGACCAATGTAGAAAACTCACTGAAAATGAATAACCCATAAATTGTGAGCCATTCTGGTGTAGTGGTTAGAATATAGGACTGGGGAGACCTCGTTTTAAATCCAGTCAGCCACAAGGTTCCCTGGATGACCAGCCACTCTGTCTCAGTTTAACCTACCTCACAGGGGTGTTGTAAAGGCAAAATGGAGGAGGGAGCAACTGTGTAAACCACCTTGAGCAGGGCAGACTAAAAATGAAAGAGAACAGTTAAAGACGGTTGTTGGCAGCAAAAGTAAACGATGTGGAGTAAAATAGGATAACATACTAAATAAATTACACTGGTTCTGCTTTTTAATGCTGTCCCACATCTGCCTGCTCTGCGGGCTGTCTTTTGGTAGGCTGTGGCAGACCTACATTTTTGGGACCCTGGGGGCCCCCTTCTCAACCAGCAACAACAGGGCAACATCCAACAAGGTCCAAAGGGTTGCAAGGACCTTGAGGCCCAAATTGCAGAGAATGGGGTGGTGGAGTGGAGCCCTTTAAAATGGGCCATACAGTGCACCCCTTCCCACCAGCAGCAAAGTCTGGGTAACACAAACACTTAAAAAAACTCCATCAATTTTGTTGAAAAATTAATTCATAAAAAAAGAGTTGCTTTAGGGCCCCTCCAGGATTAGTTTCATTAGTTTCATACTAGATCTGCCCCTTTTGGTAGGGCTGGCTTTGATAACATTTTTACACTTCCCCAAGCTAACAATGTTCAGTTTTGTGTCACCCTTTTGCCAGGACAAATTCCTGAGCTAGGCTGTGGGCGAACTTGGAGTATAAAAAGGTAAAAGTAATGGTTCTCTTGCTTGAAAGCCAGTCGAGTCCGACTCTAGGGTTGCGGTGCTCATCTCCATTTCAAAGCCGAAGAGCCAGTGCTGTCCGAAGACGTTTCCGTGGTCATGTGGCTGGCATGACTAAACACTAAGGCGCATGGAACACTGTTACCTTCCCACTGAAGTGGTACCTATTTATCTACTTGCAATTTCTTGCTTTCGAACTGCTAAGTTGGCAGGAGCTGGAACTTGGAGTTATACAGGCATGCAAAACAAGTGGTATTTTTCTGCTCTTGGTTAAATGGAGCATTTTTAATTTCTTTTGCTCTGGAACAATCTTATGTGGGAGGGTTTTAATGCTGAAAAGCAGTTGCAAGGATCAGGGCCATGGGGTGGTCAACTCTTTCCTTCCACACTGTTTTGCCATCTTCAAATGCCCCCATCTGCTGTTTATGCCTCTATGGGAAACAGGTGACTTGCTGCCAGAATAACAAAACAGCTTGGTGGCATCTTCGAGGCTAACAAATTTACCATAAACTTTTGTAAGTCAGAACTCAGTGCAGAAGCATGAAGTGAAATGTGGTTAGTCCTGAAGGTGCCACTGGAGTCCTGTTTTATTATTAACATGGCTACCACTTTACCACTTTGGTGTAGTGGTTAAGTGTGAGGACTCTAATCTGGGAGAACCGGGTTTGATTCCTCACTCCTCCAC